CAATGAGGAGGGAATGAGGCTCTTCTCAGGAAGTGGGGACTTTGTAGTTTCAGGCTGGTAGGATTGTTGTCATCTTGGGGGCTGTGGTTATGAAACCACGTTCTGTAGGGCCTCAGGTTAAGGCAGCGCCTCCTGGGCCGTTACAGAAGGAGGTTGATAGGCAGAGTTCTCGGGCTGTAAATCCTACCATGACCGTTTCAACACACAGTTTTGCTTTTATCTAAATTATAGATTGTGCTCGACTTCAGATGTTTTCAATGCAATCAAATGACAAAACTGAATTTACTAGAACTCCTTTAAGGGTAAGTACTATAAGTGCTTTGAAAAAGCAGGCAAGAGAAGTCACTTAGAAAGGGTGGGGCTAGGAGTGAACTCTTCAAGGGCAGAATGGAAATAAAAATATAGGGCCACCAGTTGACTGCAAGTTCCAGAAGGCATGTTCCAATGATAACTTCAGAGTTTCTGTTTTTCTGAGAAGAATAGCCAATTTGAGGCAGAGTTGAGCTATTCATGAGAGAAGGAGACAGGCTGTGTGTTCTGTGGAAGGAAAGGTAGACAGATCTTCACTTCACAGTACAACCAGAGGGACTGGGGAGAAGACAACAGAAACGGAATTTTATGGAATTGTGTATGGTAGAGTGTGCAATGTGAGACCCTCCTTTGCTGTCTATCTTTCTGACACCCAGAGGACATTATTTGGTAAAACTTGTCCAGTAATTTTGTGAGGCTTTCCTTGACAATATCTTCTTCCTGGAGAAGCCAAGAGAAACTGAGGATTGTAAACTGATTGTGCAGAGAAGAAACCAGAGAATATATTTGGCTTGCTGATGAAGGACTCCCAAGACCCAAACTTAGGTAATACTGCCTGCCAAGATTTACTACAGGGGCCTGGCACTGGTGGCTCATGCCTGTAATCCTAGTTACTCAGGAGGCGGAGATCAAGAGGATCACAGTTCAAGGCCAGCCCAGGCAAAACGTTTTCAAGACCCTATCTCAAAAACACTCAACACAGAAAAGGGCTGGTGGAGTGGCTCAAGTAGGAGAGCACCTGCCTCACAAGTGTGAGGCCCTGACTTCAACGACCAGTATGGGGAAAAAAAAAAAAAAAAAGAAAAGAAAGAAAGAAAAGATAGGTTTCCAAGAACTTCCTTGTCTGAGACCACACAGGAATGCTTGTTTTCTTGCAATTAACTACAGGGACATGTGTGAAACCTTGACCCAGGGAAATCCAATGAGTCTCGGGCCCAAGGCTTTTATTGGACTGGGGTGGGGGGGAATGAGGGCTGGTTACACACGCATATGCTGCTATGCAACTAGCCTTGGCCACGAAAAATTGGGACCCCAACAAGAAAAGTAGGTGAACATTAATCTTGGTGTTTGTGTAAAACAAGTGGACAAACCAGTATGGCATAGTCCATTGCTCCAGTGACTATAAAGAATCCGTCACTAACCACTAACGTGAAGAGCACTGTCATGGCAACTGGCCAAGGGTCAATGACCAGACTTGCTGCATTAACTCTTTCCTCCCAGTAACTGGGGAAAACAAATCTGGCTAGGATTTGAAAGGCCTTGACGGCCACAAATCATTTAGGTAGTAGAAGTTAAAGATGGCTTCTGCCACCTGGAGGCAGATCATGGGTTAGGCAAGAAAACGTAGGTCTCTAGTCGAAGGTGAGTAAATTATATCTTGTAAATCAAAGTCTCTAATTTTATGGTATGTGCTGTATTTATCTTCCAAATATTTAGTAAATTCTTCCTTAAAAGTGTGGTCTTAAAGGAGCTAAAAATATACGATGGAGAAATAGCAGCCTCTTCAACAAAAACTGCTGGGAAAACTGGTTAGCAGTCTGCAAAAAACTGAAACTAGATCCATGTATATCACCCTACACCAAGATTAACTCAAAATGGATCAAGGATCTTAATATCAGACCCCAAACTCTTAAGTTGATACAAGAAAGAGTAGGAAATACTCTGGAGTTAGTAGGTATAGGTAAGAACTTTCTCAACGAAACCCCAGCAGCACAGCAACTAAGAGATAGCATAGATAAATGGGACCTCATAAAACTAAAAAGCTTCTGTTCATCAAAAGAAATGGTCTCAAAAGAAGAAATTCAAATGGCCAAAAAACACATGAAAAAAATGCTCACCATCTTTAGCAATAAAGGAAATGCAAATTAAAACCATGATAAGATTCCACCTCACCCCTGTTAGAATAGCCATCATCAGCAACACCACCAACAACAGGTGTTGGCGAGGATGCGGGGAAAAAGGAGCCCTCTTACACTGTTGGTGGGAATGTAGACTAGTACAACCACTCTGGAAAAAAATTTGGAGCTACTTAAAAAGCTAGACATTGATCTACCATTTGATCCAGCCATACCACTCCTGGGGATATACCCAAAAGACTGTGACACAGGTTACTCCAGAGGCACCTGCACATCCATGTTTATTGCGGCACTATTCACAATAGCCAAGTTATGAAAACAGCCAAGATGCCCCAGCACTGACGAATGGATTAAGAAAATGTGGTATCTATACACAATGGAATTCTATGCAGCCATGAAGAACGAAATGTTATCATTCGCTGGTAAATGGATGGAATTGGAGAACATCATTGTGAGTGAGGTTAGCCTGGCCCAAAAGACCAAAAATTGTATGTTCTCCCTCATATGTGGACATTAGATCAAGGGCAAACACAATAAGGGGATTGGACTTTGAGCACATGATAAAAGCGAGAGCACACAAGGGAGGGGTGAGGATAGGTAAGACACCTAAAAAATTAGCTAGCATTTGTTGCCCTTAACTCAGAGAAACTAAAGCAGATACCTTAAAAGCAACTGAGGCCAATAGGAAAAGGGGACCAGGAACTAGAGAAAAGTTTAGATCAAAAAGAATTAACCTAGAAGGTAACACCCACGCACAGGAAATCAATGTGAGTCAATGCCCTGTATAGCTATCCTTCTCTCAACCAGCAAAAACCCTTGTTCCTTCCTATTATTGCTTATACTCTCTCTTCAACAAAATTAGAAATAGGGCAAAATAGTTTCTGCTGGGTATTGAGGGGGTAGGGGGGAGAGGGAGGGGGCGGAGTGGGTGGTAAGGGAGGGGGTGGGGGCAGGGGGGAGAAAGACCCAAGCCTTGTATGCACATATGAATAATAAAAGAAAAAAAAGTGTGGTCTTGACTCAACTATACTATAAGAAATAAAAGGTTCATTGTTCAACAGTTATATGGAATATCTATGTACTATCTGCTAGACACTGTTGCACTGGGAGGTAAATTAATGAAAATAGAGATTTCTGTTCCTATGAAGTTTATAGGAAATGAGAAAAAAATGTGACTTGAAGGTGTGGCTCGAGCGGTAGAGTGCCTGCTTTGTAAGTATGAAGCCCTGAGTTCAAAGCCCAGTCCTACCTAAAACAAGTAAGCAAACAAAAAACACAAGAGGAAGCTACTGAGTGGGCAAAGTCACAAAATAATATTGATATGGAATCTAGAAAATGGAAATCCGAAGAAAATGAATGTTGGTATCTTGGTCTGTTTATTAATAATGCACTTTGGAAGGCTGCTTTCTAGCCAGAAGTAACAAACCCTCCCGGTTTGTTTGGGATTTACAGGGGTTTCCCAGAATACAGGAGTTTCAGTGCTGAATGTAGAACATGCACTCCTCTGAAAACTATTGCCAGCACAGAGATGGCCCTCGGTGGCCCTCCTATCTTGTATTTGAAGGGATCAGGGTGACTGCTTAACTCATAATGGCCAATTCATTCATCTGGAGAAACTGAGAAAACTGGGGGCTTGGAAGCTGACTCACAGCTCTGCAGTAAGGAGTCACAGACATTTTCCTTGAGTTGGCTAGAATACAAATAGTTTTTGATTTTGGGAAGCCCACTAAAGTATCTTTTGTCTAATTCTGCGAGAAATCCCAATGTCTTTCTGATAAGTTCTCTGCCATTTTTTTGCTTAAGCTAATTTACACGAATTTCCTTTGTTACCAAAAATTAAACTAAGTCAACTCCCCAGGTAAGAAAAATCAAAGCAATCAAGCAGCGCTGGTTATTTTAGAATGTTCCTCAAATATTCCCCAGGCTTCAAGGAATCTCTTGGGAATAGGTGTTTCCTGGCTTACACTAGGGAATTTTTATCTCTAGTGGACTTATCATCAGATATACTTTCTGATTTTGAATTAGTAAGTTAGCATTCCGGTTCATCTGGGCATGTCTTACCACTGTGACACTAACCCGGCTCTCATTCCCCAGCATGCACGTGCTGGGTGTTCAATTAAAGCCTTTTGTTGAGTACTTGAGAAAAATCCCACGAAAGACCTTTGCTCTTCTACTCAGATTCATTACAAATTCTGCCCCCTTCCTAATCAGAATTCTTCCTTCTTTTGTCATCATTACTAAGTGGACATTAGTTTCTTGGAGATGATCCCTGTCTACTTCCAAACATACCTGCGTCTTGAGGTATCTTCCCTTTTTAATTTCAGCTTGATACTTGCTTTATAAGCCGCCACCTTTTAAGGCTACCTGTAGGCCATACCTGAACTATCCTGTGTATCCTAGTAACCTCCTCAGTCCTTGTACTCAGAAAAGCCATGCTGTCACACACACACACACACAACCAGTTTGCCCATTACTTCCTCCCTTCCCTGCAGTTCTCCAAGACCATACTCATGGGATGTCTCAGGTCTCTAAATTATCAGAGCACCTTTCGGAAATAAGGGATTCCGAGCTGCCCTTCAGCTAGCCTACACAATCAAACCATCCCAGCACACTCAGCACAACCCCATTGTGATGCCTTTTAGCATCTCTTCAACCCAACATGACTTCCCATTGTCACTTTGTAAACTTGGAACCTTTAGGAATTTAACAAGTACACCAAACGTGTTTTCTCTTTCTTGGCTTTTTCACTATAATCACTAGCTCGTGTGGACCTGACCAAGTGCCAGGGGCTGTCCTTGCACTAGACACTGCTCACCTCAGAGAAAATACCACTCCTCAGGATTAAGCATGTATTTATTTTAGTTCAGTTAAAACATTACATTGTTTCATTGAAACTGGTGTAGCACTCCTTGCCAACAAGCCACACTGGAATTGTTGGCCTCTAACAGTACAGTGGGGATATTTATACTATATACACAGCAAGCTAACATACCCAAGTTCACCAAGGTCTTTTAACACACTAGGTCACATTTGATTTCATTAGAGATCACATTTTGACAACTACTGCATTTTGAAAATTTAGACCTTATTTAAAATTGAAATAAGAGATCTGAACTGGCACCAAGTTTTCATGAAAAAAATTCAATGTTCAACCAGTTTATTGCAAATATAAACAAGTATTTTTAAATGTTTAGTGTTTGTACACAGTGTTATTTTTCTTATATACTGAATTCTCTGCATAGGTACTTTTGGAGACATATGTGAATTCATCAAAATGCAGTTAAGAAACTTACAGGAATATATACACTTGAACCCAAGACCCAGTCCTGACATTATATACAACCTATTTACAAATACATATGGACAGACAATGTATGTACATAGATTATCATAAATATTGAAAAATAGGTTAGCTTTAATGGATTAATGCTGTTCTATAAATAACATTACAGTTGTAACTGAAACATCCACGGAAGACAGTAATGCAAAATGAGGTGACGAGACAGTGGTTTTAATACTGAAGACTGCTCATGAACGGGGATTCACTGTTTAGGAACCTCAAGGCAGACAAGGTAGCTCCATATCATGCATTGAAATTTACCCTAGGAGTTGATTTTGAACCTCAAATAGCCAGAGGTTAGGGGGACCTCCCACATTCATTTGCTGTGAGAGGATTTCTTTTTCTCCATTCTTCCTGGTTGCCATGGTACCTTCTTCCATACAAAAGGATGTGAACTGCAGAAAACTTTTTTTTTTCCTCCTCTTCTCTGGCAGGTCTCTTCAGGAACTCTTTCCAGGAATTCAAGCAGAAGTGTCAAATTCTTGGTCTGAATGAAAGGTGAGATTCAGGATTCGAATGGATGAAAGCAGTGCTGTAGAATTGTCTTCTCACTGCCTTTCTATTTCTAGATGGTCTCCAATTAATCTTTGTAGAAATAAAAATAAACCATTGGGTTCACTCAATGTAGCACTACAAGACGTCTTCCAGTTGTGTAAGGGTCTTCAATTACAGACACATTTTGTCTGTAAATTTAGTCACATATGATACAAGAATGTGTAACAAAAACCATGTCTGCCACATTTCTGGCCCTTGCCTAAAACTAAAAACCTTTAGTTCACCATAAAGACCTAAGAGCCAGATATAACCAATTGATTCCATCATTTGCTTCCCTCGACCATTTAATGGAATTATGCATATTAGATTTTAGACATTATGCCTGATGAGCAAAGTACCACATTACTTAATATATTCACCATACACCATAACGTACGATAAATGTGCTCTAAAGCCGTTTCAAATGGTTTCACTTGTAACTGGAACTGAAATGGAAGGGTGAACATGCAGTTGGACCAAAACCACCACGTACAACCAAGTTCCACTGTATTCCCTAACTAATCATTTGTTGGATGTAAACAAATAATTCTGCATTGTACGTGAATGAGATGACAATCCAGTGCACTTTTGAGTTTTTAAAAAAGCTTACTGCATGGGAAACCCAGTGGCCTGGATGAGAACTTGTATTATATCAAATATGGGTGTAACCTATGTATAAGACCTCTACTGTAGACGAAACACATACACAACTAAGCTGTACAATGTCAAGTAAATCACACTTCCAGTAGATGAGCATTGTGAAATGTTGTACTCTCTGGATATTTGGCCATTTGCCATTAAATGCCCACTTTTCACTGCTGGAAGCAATATTTTAAAAAGGGCTGGCCCAAAAAAAATGAGACCCAGAGCTGTCAATACAACTCTGGAGACAGATGCAACTGAATAAACCCTGTTTTACTCAATTGCACTATTTGGTACCTCAAAATCAGTTATTTTATTTCCCACAGAAATATCTGCATCATTTTCCATTCAAGTAGGCTGAAGACCTAAACATTTCAGTTTGGATGAACCAAATTATTTGGGGATAGAGAAGAGAAGCAACGAACAGATTTCAACCTGATTTGGAATAGTGGTAATCAATTATCCTTTAAATGAAGTTTGAATGGAAAAATCTATGCTCCTAATTCATAGTACAATTTTTCACTACATTGTCTCTAAAAATTATTTTGGGTAAAAAAGTATTTGGCTTATAATGCCTACAAAAAAGGCAAATCATTTCATAATACTAATCTTTGTTTTTAAATACTAACGAAATTATTTTGTGGAATTTATTGACAACGGTTTCCCGATAAAGTTCAAAAAATGCAATTTCTTAAAAGTAAAATAGTGCTTCTGAGGTCTTTAAGTATTTTTGGTACAAAAAATAAAGTGTTTCTCTCAATGGTTATTTCAGTACTTTGCTGTAAATTAAGAAGAACTGTTTCTCACATCAAATGGTTCCATTAGGCACATTCAAGTAAAATCATAAAATATCCAAGATAAACAATGACACAGCCAAACATGTGGCCTGATAAAAGTTAAGTCTGTCCATTCTCTGGAATGGAATAAAATTGTCACTTCCCTTAACCCGAGACTCGTGGTTGTGTTGTTAACATCCATTCCTAACATACAGATAAGTTTCTTTGAAAAACATTAAGAAAAGAAAAGTTCACTTATTCTGCATTCAGAAGAACCAGCGAGGAATCTGCACCTCAAAAGGAAGTGAACTGAAAACTTAGGTGAAATTTCAGAGTAGCTGAGAGTTGACTCAACACTGGCATCAGATGGACTACTGGAGTTTGAGTGAGCGGTGGTGGTTTAATGGCCACCTCCAAAGGCATCGTGTACCCAATCCAAAACAATCAATGCCATGCTTCCGATCATCACCACTACGCCACTCATCAGGAAAAACATAGCCTGCAATGCAAGGAGCACAGAGAAAACGTGTCAGCGATCCAAGCATCAATGCTACACATTCCTCTGCTTTCAAAGAGGCTCCTGATGACTGAAGTTATATGTTATACAATACACTTTATGCAGGTCTACCTTGGTCACTTATGTGACCAAGGGATTATTTATAGTGCAAATATCTATACCTTCAAAGACTTCTGAACTTTAAATTTTTTATCCCCTTTGTATCAAAAGGAAATTTTCTTGCTGAATGAATTAATTTTTTTTTTCAATTTTTAAGAGCAAAAAATTAAGTCGCAAATATCAACCCCAAGTCATACTAAAATGCAGCTTAAGTAAAAAGCAGGTCTCTTTTAAGACAGTAACTTTATTCATTGCCTCACTCTTTAATCACTGGCACTATGTGAATTTGAGTAAAACAGGGTGGCAATTGCTGGTTTATAAACAACCAGCACTTTTAAATCAAAATAGAAAGACAGTGACAAATGCCTGAGAAGTAGTCGTTTTCTTAAATATCTCCCCCACCAGGCTTCTACGGCATGGGTTAGCCCATCAACTCTTTGTAATCAGTCCTTACTACACCTTAGAGTAAGTCCTCCAGAACTGGTTTTGAGGACGTCAGTCTCATTCTTTCACTGAACACCTTATCGTTGTGTCTTTTGTACACTCAAAGCCCATTTATGTGCTATCACACAGCAGGCAGGCCAAAAAGTCCTAGTTGAGCAAAGGTTAATAGTGGGGTCTGCACACTTCATCTCTACAACATCTAGTAACTTTCTTGCAATTAACTAAAGAATTTATTAGATTGCAAGCTGTTGCTCATCTCTCCTCCCCAATCTTCTCTCTGTGAAGCTTATTATTGCTGAAATGTCTGCTAAGAACTTAAAAGCAAAACTACAATGATGCAAGTCAGATGTTTCTGGAGTCATAATTCTTCACTCACCCCAATCTTCTGCACGGATTTCATAGATTCTTTCTTCACTAATTTGATATAGAAGGCAGATGGAAGAATAAAAATCAGCATAGCAGCTGCCGATGCACCTGTAAAAAAACATTTACCATTTATTGAGAATGCAACAAACTGTTTCTCTTTAAAGCCTTAATAGCTCTGGCATTTGACTCAAAACTTACCAATGAAACCAAAGATATCCCTAATAGTTGGGACAAAGATGACAAGCAAATTGGTAAATGCCAAGATAGACACTGTAATGAGACTGTGACGCCACCAACTGAAATCTTTTGCTGCACAAAGCAGGTGTGTTACAGAACTCCGGATCTGGGGGAAAAAAAAAAATTAAAAAAAAAAAAAATCCAGCTTTAATTAATAATGCAAACAATTCCCAAATAACAAGAAATTTATGTAAAACAGCAACTCTCCTAATAAGAAAATGGTTGTCCCCCTCTTCTGTTTTCTGAGTATCTGAACATTTAAAGATCACTGTTTGCTGTCATTGGTTGTAGCTACCTCCAGTAGGTTCGCCCCTGCAAAACCACCAACTTGGTATTGCTCTCCTAGGTATCCCTTTTACCAAAAGATGAAACCTAACAAATCTTCACTCATTCCTACCAAAACAGTAAGTGATGACTTACTGGGAAAATCACGACGGGTACTGTTAGGGTGACAGCCACTAACACAGCCAAACGGACAATAAGAAGAAGAATATCAGTCTTCATGACAGAAGAGTAGGTATGAAGCAATTCTGACTCAACGTGTTCTATGGGGAAAGATAGAAAAAAAAAAAAAAAACTCTCAGTGTGCAGTTTTCTCTGGAGATCACGCAGAAAATCTAACTTACAGTGAAATCTGCACTAAAATTATTAGCTACTCACAATGATTATAAACTAAGAAGCTAATAAGATTTATTTGGAATTATGGCTAATGCAATTAAAATAACATTGAAGGACAGTTTTTCTAAATACCAGCTAAAGATTTAGCCACATGACCTCCATTAAAAACAACAGGAGCTAAATAGCTAAATCCCATGGCTTAGCTGAGTTTGTGTATGTGCTACACAGTTGAAAGGTGACAGAAAAGACAGGCAGGACCAATTTAAGAGGCAAGGACATCATACAAATATGCCATCAAATGATAAAGGTATTTTCCAACCTGGACTCTAGAAATTACTGATTAAATACCCTACAGGAAATTGTAATTCAACTTCTTATCACAAATGGGAAATATATCAAATCAAACTGATTTTTTTTTAATGGGGAAACTATACTAGAAAAGTGTCAGTTTCATTTCAATAATTTTAAAATTACATGTTACTTACCATAAAATGTCAGGTATCCGAAGAGAGCAGCAAGCAGATACATGAGAAACATAGCAAAGAATGAAATCCTGGACACGTCCATCATCCTTCTACGGCTGCGGCTATGTGAATCCAGAAGAAAACAAATTAAGTTAGCGACAGTTGTAAGAACAGCCGTCTAACCTGTTCCCAGTGAACTTAACAGTTTTAAAAAAGTACCCTTTCAGCTCTTCATAGATGGGAAGAACAGCAGGGTGACAGACAAATGAAAACGTCAGAATTGGTACAGCATAGACAGTCTGGAAAAAAAAAAGTAAAAGTCTACTTAATATTCTGATGTAATAAACACTTGTCAGTTTTTATGCTGTGCTTCATATAATCTTAGAATCAAAACCTAAAATTAGTTTCCTTTGCACAATTAGCCTCCATTCTTCTCATTGGCTCACCAAGTGTGATCAATATCCTAACTTTGGAATGTGTTCTTGCACCTAATTAGTGCTTAGCAACTATTAGCTAAACATCCCCCCTTTACCTTAGAAGTTATTTTATTGTTTTTAAGTTGGTAGGCATTGTTTATTTCCTTTTTAAAAATTGTTCATACATGTATTCATATGTGTATACACTGCTTGGGCCATCTTCCTCCCCACCCCCCTCACTTCCAAGGAGTTATTTTAAAATCTTTCCTTTCCTAAAATCTTCCTGTGAGAAAACAAAGATTGCGTTTACTTACCTGTGAATTGAAGATAAAATAACGTGGTTTGCAAGACTCGATTTCAGATATGTTCAAATTCAATTCAACTGCAAAACCTGCTGGCTGTGTTAAGGTGCTGTTCATTGTTTCATTAATTACCAAAGCAAGTTCCACAGGACAAGGGATCTGAAATTTCTTGCAAATTACCTGAAAATACATTATTTTGCACTTGTTAAACTGCACAGTGTAAGAGGGATTATAAAAGATGTTTTCTAAATAAAAACTATACCTACCACAATGAGAAAGAACATCATACACAACAAGGAAAGGCCACTGGTGTATCCCAAATATCCTAAGGGGAAAAGCAGTATTAGTTAAATGAAGTAAGATTAGGGAGAGCAATATATTTTCTCCACTGAATAACTCAGTTCTGCTACGAAGACTTTAGGCACTAAAGTGTGGCAGGTACCATACAAAATTCTAAATTCTGATATACTAAGATGTATACTTGTTATAACCAAAATAACAGCAAAAACGATCACTCCATGTTGTTGTTTGCAAGGCATAAGAAATTAGAATTAAATGAAGCAGCCTGATCCACAGGGAGTTACCCTGCTAGGATTCTGAAATAATAGGTCTTGTACTTAGCTGTCAGTATTTCTTAGTAAGAAAAAGTCAACTAGCTTGTGAGAGGTTCCTATTACTTGTCCTTTTTTTTTTTTGGTGATGCTGGGGTTTGAACTCAGGGCCTGCACCCTGAGCCACTCCTCCACCTGTCCTTTTTTGTGAAGGGTTTTTTTGAGATAGAGTCTCATGAACTATTTGTTGGGGGCTGGCTTTAAACTGCAATCCTCCTGATTAGCTAGAATACAGACTTGAGCCAGGAGCGCCCAGCTTCAATTGTCTTCAGAAATGGGTTTGCTCACCTAAATTTCTCAGCAGCGACAAAGGAAGAATGAGCACCAACGACACCAGCAGAACCAAATAGTCCCCATTTAGATACCACAATCTGAATTAAAGAAGAGAGAAGCAAGGTCAAAGCCAAAGCTAGCTACAGAATATACACCTTCAAATAGGACTTTTTTTAAAAATAGAAATATCATAAAAATAAATACAAAAAAGGGCACAGTTTTAGAAAAACGACCTCTTATTCAAGACAGAAGTAACTTCTTAATTTTGTATGCTTGATGAGTATTCACTCAGGTTAGAAATGGGGTATAAACATTATAACTTTTGTCCCACTATTTGCTCTGGGAAAACTGCCAGCTGATTCATAACATAAAATGCTTCTTAAAGGCCTGATAGTAATGTTGGGAACAGTGCTGCTTTGTGAAGCCAGGAAGCTTATCTTTAAGCACTTTGAGAAAAATCATACACTGATTTAGTTACAGCTTTAAGCTTATAGTCTGTAAATGCTGAAAACAAGGGAATTTTAAAAGGTGAGTTTTTTTCAGGCATTTGTTAAGCAAATATACTAATTAAACATTTCAGTAAGGAAATTTTTTTTTCATACTCAAGGTTAAAATGTGTAGGCAAAAAACCCCAAACAACTGCTCCCCAAAACCCAATCCCCCTACCCAAATCAGGATTTATTCTAAGTTTTCAGAGTTATGTTTTGACACCTTGACCCACCTTGACTCCAGAAATAGAAGATCCTTTCTGAGCTTACAGAAAGTATCACTTATATTCCATAAGAGTTGTGAACACGTCTTTTCCTTTTTATATATCAAGAACTCTTCTCTATTTTAAATCATTATTTTCCAGTTCCAGCTACTAATTCCCAACAACTCACTTCAGCAACAGGATCCCACAGAAAACTAATATTTAAAGACCGGTCTAATGAACTACCAAGTCACAGCAGAGATAACCACACATCTCTATTCTGAGGTAACAAGCTACACATAATTTGGAAAGTAAATTAGCCCACTGTGTTTACTTTAGATAAAAACCTGCTAGTAGTCACCAGGAAGGCTAACTTTACTAGAAAGAATAAGGTTTTTCAGCATGGTCATACATTGTCTGATATTCCACATTAAATACATTAGGGGTTTTTGTTATTATTTTTGTTTTTTTGAGACAGGGTCTCTCTCTCTCTCCACACGCACACATACACACAGCCCAGACTGGTCTTGAATGCTTAATCTTCCTGCCTCTGCCTCCCAAGTGCTGTGATTACAGGTGTGCACCACTACACCCAGCTACATTAAGTTCAATGTAATACAGTGCTTCAGGTCTTAGGTTGTGCGGGGGAGAGGATCTTTGTTCAACAGCTCTAGAAAACCTGTTTCACACACAGGTTATATGTTAGCTATCCAAAGTTACAGAGCTTGCTAATATCTCTGGCCCTTTCATTATAAAAAATCACATCAGTATACAAGGGACTTCTTGGTCAGTTTCAACAGGAACATTTATGGGTAATTTATTGATCATTTTACATGCAACTTTGATAAAAGTTGCATATAAACCATTTTAGGCTGTAATTTTTTTAGGAGTAACCTTACTTAGCACCTACCCAGTTGTATCTTCAATGTTCATTAATGCCTTGATCACCAAAGGTAACTCATATTTCACTATGAAGAGGTAGCTTGACATAGCTGGAGGAAAACAAAATTATACCATTACAAGTGCAAAATGTGCCATGTGACACTGAAACTCATGTGTCACCACTCTGTGCTACACAATGAACAAACAGTCTACCCACATCACCTTTCAAAAGTTCTTACCTCCAATGTTCTGCATAGTAATCGATCCAGAGGCTGCTAGCTTCCCAACCAGTCCAAATGCCTTATATCCCAGTTGTTCATACAATAAAGACCCTACAATGTGAGAAACACAGAAGCATGAAACAAGTACGTTATAAGAGGAAGAAAAATAACGATAGGTAGAAGTTAACTTTAGGGAAAAAACAAAAAAAGTCAAGAATGCTACCCTACCTCCTTCATTGGCAGTCTTCAAAAGGAGATGAACCGAATACAGGGAAAATATTGACACGAATGTCAAGAGAATTCTGATAAGAAAAGGAAAAGTCATAAGATTATCAACAAACAGGACTATACATTTAAAGACAACTTTTTGCTTCTTTTAAATAACATTAAATACGGAACTTGTCTTATTTGGGTCAAAATGTCCTCAAGAACTGGTAGCCCCCTTTCCTGCTAGCTGGATTACATCATCTCTTGCCTGATACTAAAAGTTACAGGTCTTAGGTGACAGTCCACAGAACTAAGAACAAATGTGTACACTTTTCCAGCAGGAGGTACTGGAAAGCCCAAAGTCCCAGTGGTATGAGACTTGTATTCTTAATTTTGGCATCATAGTACTTTAGCTGTATGCCTGCCACTTCTCTACATTTTAATCGTTCCCTTTATCTGTAAAATCTTGATGAAACTTTTTATTAAAGCCAGCCAAGACTTTTGTGAAATTCAACTGAGACAGGTTCAGGAAAAGCCATGAAACCACATGGATTGTAGATAAGGAGTAATGAGAAGGAGGAAATGATGCTAACAGTTTAAATTCAGGCACTACAAACTTTACTAAGTGAGCCAAGTCAGAGAAATAACTGATGTGATGCTATACTACACCACATCCATGGTGAGGGATACAGGCTGAGCATTGATGCAAAGTTCACAGTGTCTGTGCTGGAACAAGTACACTATCAATTTCTTTAAGAGGTCTCCTCTTGACTCTTGAACTTGGATTAGATGACAGCGGTGGAAAAAACAGGGTTTAGGGAAGGACTGAAGCTACCCCAAAGCCACTTAGTATTTGTTATGCTATAGGTTTTCTCATTCCAGATTCATTTTCTTTCTGCCCAGGCAAAGAAAGACAGGGATTTTTATTTTTAAGAAATAAAACATCCAAGCTAGGAAGCAGGGGCCCTCAAAGGAGTGTGGAAGGGAAAAAAAAAAAAAATCAGGAAAACTTAAAAAAAAAAAAAAATCCTGCCAACAAGACAAGTCAAGTGAGTTTTGACTCTATATGGGCAAACTGCACACAATATATAAAGTGCTGGCAAAGAAATTGCTGCCTAGGAGTTAAAGATAGGGACCTGACATTAAACTACCATTCAAATGCTGGAACACTATGGGGTCTCAGTTCTACCGTGACCCTATTAGCGTCATCTGCAACTTGAGAGATGTTGATTTAATTAAAAAGAATTAAGCCCTTTTATGTCTTCCACTGAGACAATGAGGGACAAATGGACCTCACATTATTTGATGTTACGTTCAACCTAAGAATGATTCGACTTAAAAAGGTCAGCAGAGTTGTTTTAAGTGAACCATAACAGCTATGTATGGCCCATTTACTTCTTGATCTCTAAGTACTGTGTAAACACCGAGGAATAAAAACTCACACAATCTTGATATCATTTAGCCATTTATTAAAATGGTTAATCAAACACATAAGCTCCTATTAAAATAGAATTCCAAAAGTTCAAGGGTAACATCAGAATTTTGCTTTCACTTATGAAACAGAGTTGTCACTTTATCTCAAATTCTGTACTATAGCTATATTGGTAGCATTTAAAAAACTCCCTCCAGTTTTTATACAAAGAGTTAGGAAGGGTTCCAAATATTTAACTATGATACCATTCAAACTTCCCACTATAAACTTCAAAATTCTAGGATCTTTTTTATGTATATTCCTGATCCTTCACCTTGGCCAGGTTTCAAAATGCCTCATTCTAATTAAGCAAGCCCCACTGAATCCTGCCTTTAATTCTCAAAGCTGGGCTTAAACCTCAGTGTGGAATTTCAGAGCAGGGCTTTGCAAAGGTCTGCTTTTCTTTTCATGAACATTCTACTGTGCTGGAGAAAATAACTTCAAGGCATCAGTCTGCTAACTAAAAACACATCTGTCACAAATGGACAGTTACATGCTATGTGTGGCTTCCCCATTTATGTGACAAAAACATTAAGGTGATGAGACAGGGGCCTCCACAAAAATTGCTTTTAGTCAAAAACATGCATGAAAAACATGCATATGCACTGAAAAATATGCATGCTCCAACTTGCGTGCACTTTTGTGCCTTTTTGTGCTTTTTTTCCCTGGAACTAAGAACCACAGTTTTCAGTTACATTCTCCAAGGGTCAAGGAGCCCCAGATAATAACAAGGCCTTCTCTGAAATCTTCTGTACCTCCCAAACTACGCAGGCATTTATGCTGGAAAGCAAAGGAATAGCTAATTCTAACTGAGTAACTGAGGAGGAAAACATTTAAAAGCAGGTACTCATTAAAATATTCATTTGGCAATGACGGATCTGGAAAAAACATTAAAGAAAAAAAAAAAAACACACACATGAAATACTTTTCAGCGTCCTGAAACAAATGTATTCCAGGCTAGGTAAACATCACCACACCTTCTACATTCAGAATTTTCTTTTCCTTATGCACACAAGGGGCCATGGGCACTTCACTTATTTTGGCTTCTGTTTAACTGGAACAAATTTATAGTTACCCTGTATTTACCAATTGTCTTTTTTACTATCCGGTATCTGACAGACCTGTTTCCATTTTTAATTAAGAGACTTTGGGTTCAATTTGTCAGTTTTAAATGTTCTATTTTTTTTTTCTAGTTAACTGGCTTTCTTGATACTGTACAATAGGTAACAGAATAAAGAGAGTTGGGGTTCCTCATACTTTTTAACAAATTAATTTTTAACTTAACTATTTGAACTGTAAATTCAGTTTCTGGAGCCAAAATGTTTTTATCATATTAACTGCCCTGCACAGGAGACTCACTACTTACACATACTTACATAAAAAGAGCAATTCCAGTATTAGCCATGGCATAAGAAAGCCCAAGGATTCCACTGCCCACAATCGCATTGCTCAGATTAAATACTGACATTCCAAAGGAAGTAGTACCTGGATGCTATACAGAGGGAAAACGATAACCAAACATATAACAATAATTAAATGGAGAAAACCAGCTTTGGGTAAGTCAGATTTGAAATCTCAAAGTAAAACTATGCTTTTACTCCATAAAGCCACACATACACACACACACAAATTATTAACTTACAAAGTCTGTTTCATACTTCTTCTTCCCCAAATTCGATTCAAGTAAAAAGTTCTGGTTTTCAGGATCTACATCTGCATAATGGCTGCAAAAACATACATATGCACATATACAATTGTAATTTGATTGACAGATATATAAATGATCTTTATAATTAGTACAAATCATCTAAGATATAAATTATGCTTCCTTAATGGGAAATATTCCCCCCCCCTCCAGTCTTGTCACAACTCCTTTAGTTAATGTGGAAACATTCACGAGTTGTCGCACATGGCAGGTCTTTCAGGGGACACTGTCACTGCAGTAACACAGTGATAACTCCAGGCTAACCGCCCCGCCCCGCCCGGTGCACCAACTTCTCCCACCTTTTCAGAGCAGCTTGCTTGGTGGGGTAGGAGTAGTTGAAGTCGCTGTTGGAACTGTAGCTGCTGCTGTCCTCATCGGGGGAAATACTGAACCTTCCCATTTCGGTCTTCTTCATGTTGATGAGCACCGGCAGCGCCGAGCGCCTTTTGTCCTTGACTGTGCACCGGCTCGCGAGGTTGGCTGCCTGGGAAGGTAGGGGCGGCGCATTAGCACCGCAGCGCCCGCCCGCCCCCGATCACGTGACGCAGCCGGGCGGCGCAGCGCGGCTGATTCATCCCCGGCCAGGCGAGTGGAAAAGTACCAGCCGAGCGCGAGGGGCGGGGGCGCGCCGAGGGGCGGAAAAGTACAGACTGCGGGGCAGCGAGAACAAAGATGATCCCACCGCGGCGCTGCGCCGCTCGCCCGCCCGCCCGCCGAGGCCCCTTCGCCGGCGGGCCCGAGCACTTCACCCTCTCCAGTGTCCCGAGGATGGCGGGGGGGTGAGGACTGTCGGGGGCTGTTTCGCTCCCCCGCAGCGGGCCCCGATCATGCACAGGCACGCACGCAGGGCACACATCCCGCCCGGGCGCGGGTCGGTAGGCATGCACTCCAACGCGCACGGCCTCTCCAGCCAGGGGAGCAAGCAACAAACACCCCAAGCCTGTCCGTTCAGCCCAGCCCAGCACCCCCCGGATGGGGACGAGCCTCTGCGGCACACGGAGGACCCCGGAGGCGGCGGGGAGGGCTGACACCACTCCTCCTCTCCCGGGAACCCCGGGTTTGTTTACACGCGCTCTCCCGTACCCTCGATCGCGCCCGTCCATAGGCATTTGGCCGGCAGCGCTTTGCCCAGCCCGCCCCTCCTCTACCCGGAAAGGAACTGATGCAACATCCATCGTCGATTGTCAAACGTCCCCGCTCGACTAAATGCCGAGCCCACCTCTCTGCCAGCTTCCCGATTCCCGCACCTCTGGACTTAATTTTTGTGTGTATGTGTATGAATGCAAATCAAGTCACAAGACTTGCCGCAGCGGAGCCGCGGGCCGGGCGGGATTGACTCCCCTCCCCCCTAAAGGAAAGATATAGCCCCGCACCGGGTGGGCACACGTCCCGCACCACCACTCTCCCCCACCCGCGGCCCCGCGGCCCCGCGGCCGGGGACCCCTGAGCCGCAATCCCGGCTTACCGAGCTCACCCGCCCGCCCGACCCAGGGGAAAACGGGCCCCGCGCCGCTTTCCCGCCGCGGCCCCTCCCGGGCCCCTCCCCCACTCCCACCCGGGCCCCGCGCCCTCGACGCAGACTCCCCCACGCACCTTACCTCGGTAGTCTCCGCTCCTGTATCCCGAAACCTCACGGAAACGTCCCCGGAGGGTTTGTTTCAGTCAAACAAAAATCGTAAAAATAATAGCAAATAAAAAAAATCCCTCCCCCAAATCCAACAGGCAAAAATAATAATTTTAATTTAAAAAGTAAATGGCAAATTGCCGCCCCGATCCTCCGGCGTCCGCTATGCCAAGGGAAAGGCGCGAGTGTGAGGGAACGCGCGGTCAGGCTGCGGGCGGACGATGCAAGATCTGTACTCCGGGGCGGCGGCGTGGCGCGGACTAGAGCAGCCGGAAGAACGCGGATTATAGCGGCTCCCCGCGGACGCGTCAGGGGGCGGGGCGCGGCTGGGGTACTTGGTCTTTGTGTACCAACACCACCTGGGCTCCGCCCCCTGCCCGCCCAGCCCCAGGCCCCGCCTCCCGCACCCCCCCTCTCAGCGCCTGCGCTCCCCACACCCCTCTCCTCCGCTGGCCTCTCCTGCGGCGCCGGGATCCCATTCTCTCCCGCTTTGCCCACAGCCTGGGAATGGCCCCCACGCGCTTCCCTCTGCTGCGCGCTCTAGCCCCAATGGGTGCCAACACTTGCGACTGTCACTGAAGAGCCATCCCCTTCAAATTCCTTTCCGTCCGAGTCCCTTACAGTTTTTGCTTTTCGGGGGAACATCCAGGATTGAGGAGGGAGCAGGGGACGCATTTGGCTCACCAAACCCTTTGCTGCCTGTGATTTTTGAGATTTACATTTGGGTTTTTCTCTCGCAAACCTGGGCCAAAGGCAAAGCAACATTGCCCCGATGGTCCGTGTCTGTTCTCGTTCTTTCTTTTCTACCAAGATTTGCTTTCACGCTTCAAAACTAGTCGGTTGGCAGTTCCGTTGCAGGCTATATTTTTGGTATGGACTTGGGAAACTCTACCAAAAGTGGCATTTTAACCAGCAAAGGGTATCATCAGACCGCTTGAAAGGAGGTCCGAGTTGGGGGGCTTACATTGCTGCTGAGCCGCTCGGGGGTCCCCAGTTTTCCCTCGCTGCACCCCCCACCTCCATCCCCTCTCCCTCCTTGTCTGCCTCCCTGACATCCAGAGGGGCTGCTGCCCTGTTGAAATGCTGGTCTAGTTCTTCCTCTCCAGTCTGGTCCTTTCCTTCCCTGGTGAAGAGGTCTTGTAGAGCTGGGCAACTAGGGGGCCCCTTCGCCATGGAGTACTGGTGCTGCCGGAAAGGCATTGCCCTTCCCTTGCTGGAAACAAAGACCCCCGAAGAGCAGAAATGTTAGTTGAATGAAGGAATAAACAAACGAGTTTGACCTACTGCTCTCTTCCTTTTGGGGACGTGGGAGAGACTGGGCAGGGCATAGAGGAAAGGGTTGGGTGTGATCACAATTTTTGCTTTTAATGTTTTCCTGAGGAAGTCTGTACAGCTGCCTATTTCCTTGGCACGTGAGACTTAGGGTGCCTTCAGCCTGTGCCAGTGTTTCTGATTGACAAGGGAGGACCTCCTTTCCCCCTTTTTAGCCTATACTCCCCATCCCAAAGCTTCTACTCTGGTGAGACCTGTCACACGTAAACAATAGTCTTGCTTTACTGCCTAAAGTCCCCTCACCCCTCTCAAATACCACCATCACTCAAGGCTTAGTCTTTGAGCTTCAGGAACCCCTTGATCTGCCTACCTCAATCCCTCCTTCCACAGACCTCTTTTTTGTAGGTACTGTTTTCTAAAACATGTAATGCAGGACTTTTAAAAACTTGTGCAGTCTTGTACACTGCTCAAATTGTTCAAATTTGTCGTCTTGCCTCCTCAAGGAGATTGTGAACTCTTGGATGGCAGGTTTGAAGTTTGACATACAATCAGGGCTGAAAAAAATCTTGATTATCTGCCTTCTACATACATTCTCTAGTAAAACCAATCAACACTTTTGTCAGAACAGTCTTGGTGGTGGGTTAAACAGGAATCCTGGAAAATTCCTTTATATCAGGTTTCAACTGATAAAAATCAAAAGATCTTAAACCACTTTTCATTCCAGGTGAATCTCAACTCATTCCTATCTGCTCAGTCAGAGTAAGGAAGTCCTCTTGGTGGGTGGTTATGGCTGGCAGTTTGTACTACAACCAGACTTCTTGTCCTTTGGACTTTTTGGTGGTTTGTATTACAGTACATATTTAAGAGAAGTGTGGCCTGTGAAATCAAGGATCAGCAGTGTGTGTGTTGGACGTTTGTAATTTTGATCTGATCACTGTATGGTCAGAACCTGAACCATAAATGGAAAAACAGGGGAGAGGAGGGATTTTTCTCTCACTGATTTGATTCAAGAGTCAATATAAGTTGTATCAATTTTCCAACTGAGGCCTGATGTGCTTTTGTTACAATGTATGGGACACAGTGCCCTCACCAATTACTGAGAAACTGTATCACTAAATACCTGATGAAAAGAGTGCTAGGATTTTGTTTGATTTTTAAGCTAATGTTCTAACATTTTTCAAACTCCAAGTGGTGGAGAGAGATGAATTCACTGGATCCCTGCCAGTTTATTTTCTTCTTTAATGCAACAGAACAGAAAAAAAAATCCTTTATTTTGATTATATTTAAATATGTATATATTCTGAGTTGTGATGTGAAGTGTTTCTTGGTGTGGACTGGGGACCAAGGAATTTTAAAAGCTACTGAAAGTGAACCTTATCACCTATCCTAAGACAGAAAAACAGCACAAATCAGTTGTCCATTCTGGATCTTCAGGAGTGCATCATCAAGGTAGGTTGTTAGACATTTTTAGTGAAGGAATATAGCTATCTTCTATAGAATTGTGTGACCACTGATAGAATAGAGTGCTTTTCTTTCCTGGAGCTATAACTGCTTGTTGCTAACTGTCCCAACTTGTTAACTAGCTGGTCTTTAGGCTGACCCTTAAAAGAGCTGTTTTATTCAGCTCTTAGAGTAGCTTAAAGTGGGTTTAAATGTTAAATTTGCTTCTTTCTACTCTCCATGTCCAAGTGAATAGTCTCAGGTTGGCTTCCAGAACTTTCTTTCATCTGGCCCAGCCTGTATTGCTAAGTTTTTCTTCCATTTCCCCTGTGATTGGCAGCTTCTAAGATGGTCCCAGTGAATTTGGGACCCTTTCCTTGAACATGGATTGAGCCTGGTAATGCACTTGTATTTGGCAAAAGTGATGGCATGTTACCTCTGACACTAGGTTACAAAAAGAGTTTGTGACTTCTTCCATTTTGCATTGTTGCCCTCTTTCTCTTGCATTTCCACTGCATTTTTTTTTAAAGGGAACGTCCTATGGAGAGGCTCAAGTGGGAAGGAGCTGATGTCCCTGGCAGAATCAGGGAGCACCCAAGGTTGGCCCACAGTCAGATGAGTAGGTTTAGGGGCTGATCCTGCCAACTTGAACTTTGAGATGACTGTAGCCCCAGGTAATTTGTTAGCCAGGGAACCCAAGGAAGCCCAGCCTGAATTTCTGACCCACAGAAATAAGTGATAATAAATAGTTACAGTTTTAAGCTGCTAAATTTGGCACAGTTTATTACTCAATAGATAACTAATATACTTTCCTTCATATGCTTTCTGCTTTTGCCAAACCGTATTGCTCAGTGTCTCAATACAAAGCATTTTCTAATTCAATCATTCCCACCGCTTACAATAGTCTTCATCATGCCTTTGTTTCCCCATCATCTCCACATTTGCAGATTCTGCATTTCCTTTGAGACCCAGATTAAATACTGCATCCTTCATTAACTCTTCTTTATTTGATGATCCCACTAGAAGTTGAGCTCATTCTCCTTTCATTTTAGTGCTTTATAAATACCATTTTTTTAAATGACACTCCCTTTTCTGTTGTGTATGTAACTCGATTTTTGTGTAGTCTAATGAAAATAAACTCATCTTTCTAGGGTAGCCTCTGGCCAATCACATCCTACCTAGTCACTTGCAAAAAAGAAGGTACTTTTTCAATAGATGGATGAATTAAATATGTTTTGTTTTCTTTTTGGTACCTATTACTACCCGTCTCACTGTCATGTAAGCCCATGAAATCAGGGATTTCATGTGCTGTGGTCACTATCACAGTATGTTTTTTGCTGAATGGATAAATGTAGGAGCAAATCGTTTCTAGTTTCTCTAGAACCAGGAGAACCTCTTATCTAATGCATCTGAAGGACATTTATCTTATCCCTTACAGATCAAAGAAGAACTTTTGATTTCCCTATCAAAATTGTTCTTTTCCTAATCTTTCCAATTTAGAAGAATAACACTGTGATTTATGGGAGATCTCAGGCCCAAACCAGGGAGTCTTTGTCATTTTTTTTTTTTTTTTTTTTGGCAGTGCTGTGGATTGAATTCAGGGACTAATGTTTCTAGGCAAGTGCTCTACCATTTGAGCCAAGCCCACTTCCACCCCCACTCCAGTCCTTTTGCTTTTTATTTGTTTTTTAGATAGGGTCTCTTGCTTTTGCCTAGGCTAGCCTTGAACTGTGATCATCTTACTACCACCTCCCAAGTAACTGAGATTACAGATGTGCAATACCACACCCAACTCGAGAAGTCATCATGAATTCTCATCTTGAATGTTCCTTTCCCTCTTGAGGGCTCTGCTTCCTAATATATTCAGAATCTTTCCACTTGTTCCATCTGCATTGCTCTGATTCTAGCCTCAGTGACTTTCACCTCTCTCATGGGTCACAGTCTCACTTGTGTGTGGGCTTCCATTCTTGATCTTCTCAGAACATCAGTTAGGTTTCTTGCTTGAAGGGATAAGTAATTTCTCTTACTTAAAGTGATTTCTAATTGCAATCAGAATAAAATCCATGTTCTTCACTCAACATGGCCTTACCCAGTGTGCTCTTGCTTACCTCCTCAACTTCATCTCCTACCACTCTCCTCATTTTCACTGTGCACAAGTCACAACGATTTTCTTTCTCTCCCTAAAGCACATTAAGCTGTTCCCTTTTCGGGGTTTTGTGTATGTGCCTTGCCTATATAGCTTTGTTTGGCTGCCTTCTCATCATTTAGATCTCAGCTTAAATGTCATAGCCTCAAAAGCATCTTCCTTGCCCATTCCAGCCAAAGTTGACACTCATACTCCATTTTCCCAGCATCCTGTTTTTCTTTCCTTGTATTTCTACATGAAATGAAAATGAAATTTTGCTTATTTTTGTTTATGATCTTTCCCTTCCACATCTTCCCTCCCGAATCCCTTTCTGCAATGTTAACTCCATGAAGAGAATGCTATCACTTTGCTTATCATTGACTCTTCAGTGCCTAGCCTAGCACCCGAAA